GGACCTCCTACCCTTTACGTGACACCGGGCGCAAGTTGACAGATATAGGAGTAAATGTGACTAGGGCATTTTACTAAAACCCGGTGTGAAAGAAATTATGGTCCCCCAGGGATTATGGTCCCCCCTTTTAAAGGCCCTTATTGGCCCTGATTGTGTATATGATAATAAGGGAAAGAGCACAAAGAGGTCACCATATACATCAATGGAGAGTAGGACCATAAATTAATAGGACCTCCTACCCTTTTACACCGGTGTAAAAGGGTAGGAAGTCCTATCAAATTATGGTCCTACTCTCTATTGATTTATATGGTGACCTAAATACAACTCTTTCCCTTATTATCTTATACACAATTAGGGCCAGTAAGGGCCTTTAAAAAGGGGGACCATAATCCCCAGGGGACCATTATTTCTTTCACACCGGCATTGACTAACCATATGTCACATTTCAAAATACATTTTCATTGGTTGTGTGTTGATTGTATGTCTCATCGCATTCGTTTTCCAAAAAAGCCTTACAGCGAAGATAGAGAATACCTGCTCCATTTGCAACTTCACTGTCGCCTGTATCCCTTTTGAAGCCATACAGGCTACAGTAGCCTATGGGAGAAGGGTGGTGTGGTAGTGTGTATTGATTGTAGTATTATATGCAATGGAGGAAAGGGAAATACCCTTCGGACCAAGGACTCAGTTGATTGTTTTATTTTTAAGGGAGATAAAGTTACTTAGTATTTGTTTTATTCTATGGCGTAAGATATCAAGATGATATGAATAAAGTTGATTTGTTTTCATCAAGGTCAAAGGAAAATAAATTATATTTCAAATAAATTCTAAACAAAAGAAAATTTTGAAAAATGACCGCCTTCTTCAAAAAGTGTCATTAGACAGTGTGCCATGCTTAGTACTATAGTATTCACATACAAAATATAAACAAAATCGCTCCACTACTTTTCGAGTTACAGCAAAAATCGTATAATAGCGAGTAATCATTTTTCAAGATTTCTGCTATGTGCTCCTTTAAGATCTACACTAGCTTTATAAATGTCCTATATAATTTTTTTACATTTAAAACATATTGCTCTTACAGTTTTACATATTGTACCTAAATTACTGTAAAATCGGCACTAAAATGGCCGCCATTTTTGAATGAGCGTTTTGAAAATCGGCTTTCGGGCAGAACTTCTATCCCCATAGCGTATATGTTTACAAAATATGAACAAAATCGGGCCAACGGTATTTGAGTTATTGCTCGGACGGACGGAAAGACGTACGGACGGACAGACGGACGAACAGAGGCGTTCCCTATATCCCTCCCGTCCGAACTTCGTTCGATGGGAAAATAATTTATCGTCAATTGCGTCTGAGAGCATTATCAATGCCTTCCCATGCTCATGCATGATTCCACGAGTAAAGATTACAACAAGAGATTACGATACCTTTTAAAGCTAGCAACATGAATCTAACACAATAAACTGCCAACAAACCATCTGTGTGTTGTTTAATTGTGAGTACACGCCAAGGATTTGAAAAGAATCTAAACATATCTCTTAATATAAATGACAAATGAATAGTAAAATATACAAGTGAGAGGACATGAGGATAGCTACTGATCGAATGTTAAAATAGTCATATATAAGTAAAACTTTGTTCCACATGTCTTCTAGTACGCAAATTGCCATATAATAGAGAGGTTTCGCAAAACGATTTTTAGCTTAACGGATCCGTAGCCGTAACGTATTTACCAGATTTATGCGTAGTCAGTTCAATTTATACGTGATGCGATACGGAAAACACGAAAAATGAGGCTTTTCTACGTTGGTCATTTACGTATCCCATTTTATCCTTCGATTATATTGATTTTAGTTCTAAAGGTATCACTAAATGAACAAGCACAGTGTGTTGTGTATAATTTGACTTAAATTTGGTGAATGTATCTGTTTATTGTTTGACAAAAATCGAGTTTTTCAAACGGTATGTTCAATTAATTTTACACTGTATGGAATGGTATCGCAATATTTACAGTGTACATGTTTCGCACAACGTTTTAGCTACCCGTATCAAGCTCCGTAACGTATCGATGGAGAAAAAGTGTACTCAATACGTTTGTCTAACCGACAGCAATACCGAAAGTACGTAAACTAGCGCTTTCTGTGCGTAGTTGTGTCCGTATCTATTTTGTCCTTCAAATCTTGATAAAATTTTCCCTAAATGTATCATTCTAGTAACCCACATGTGTTATCATGTATATCGTGTTAATTTTGATGAAGTAATAGGCCTATCTGTCGATAAATTTGATTATTAGTGGGTGACCTGCAATTTTTACGAATAAAGCTTTAGTCATATTTGTTGGTAGGCAGCCGTACGGTCTATAATTTCTAGGGTCAATAGTAATACCGTGGTCGATTTCTTAGGGACATCAAACCAGTGGTTAGCAGCTAGGCCACCTGAATTTATATTTTGTGCCCCAAGTCACGCTCTAAATTCCTATAGAGCGGGGTTTTGAGTATAGCAGCTTGGTCCTGACCTCGACTATGAATGTGATATTGGGTCTAAAGGTTGCGTTCCGCATAAATTTCTAGCCAGGGGAGCTTCTTCCCCTGGTATGACTTGATCACGCATCAAGTCATGCGATCTGTGTAAAATAGTAAGCAGCCTCGTTTGGGGGTCCAGGGAGACTAGTGCCCTAAAGCTTGGTGCCCAAGCTTCCCCGAACCACCGTTAGTTATTATGTGACAGGTAGAGTATATTTAGTTGAGCATAAGATGATGATATTGGCGTGTACTTTCCTATTTTGATTTTTTAAAGAAAGGCCTGACATCCCGATCCTGTAACATTCCTTCTCCCTTACATAGTTGTCACGGTAGGAGCCCCAGATGTATCTAACTCGTGAGTGGTGGTCCATGATATGTTCTTCATCACCATCTTTATGATGATGGGGAAAGGGAAGGGAGGAGGGTGGTTGTAATTCAAGTAGATATCGGGTTGTCCCCGATTGTGTTTTGTGGTTGTCTCCAGTTGGAATATGTTAGTTGAGTATATCGGTATCAACGTTTCGTTGTGGTTTATTGGTTGTGCCTGATTTTGTTTTGATGGGTTGATTAAATCGATTAGTTTTTAGTTGAGCCTGGTTGTGTAATGATGGGTTACTGTCAGGTAGATATTGCCGAATTGTGTTGTGTCAGATTGAGAGTCGGTTGTCTTTTGATGGTTCTTAGTGATCTAGTATCGGGTTGTGCCCTATTGTGTTATGTTAATTTTATAATGGGTTGAGTTCTCTTATGAATATGTTATGTTGGTTGGGTAGCTGGTTGTCGGGTGGGGTATCTGGTTGTGTCTGATTGTGTTGTGTTATTGGCGTTGCCTCCAATTTGAGTAAGTTAGTTGTGTATATTAGTATTACAGTTTGATTGTGTTTTATTGCTTGCGCTTGATTTTGTTTTGATTGTTTTGTTTTGGGTTTTGGAAAATTGTGATGTGTTACTTGAACAATGGGTTGTGTTTGCTCTTTTTGGTTTATCATTGGGTTGTGCCAAATTGTGTGGTGATAATTTCACAGTTCGTTGTGTTTTCGTGGTTGTTATTTTAGTTGTGTTTTATTGGCTGTGCCCGATTGTGTTTTAATTGTTTAGTATTGGGTTGTGCACACTTGTGTTGAGTTAGTTCAACAATTGGTTGTGTTTACCGTTGTTGTGTTTTCATTGGGTTGTGACATATTGTGTTAATTTGACAGTTGGTTGTGTTTTGGTGGTTGAAAGGCAGGTTGCGCTATTCTGGCTTTGGTGCTGGGTTATGCTCTGTTGCATTCTGTGTATGTTGTCACTGGGTTATGTTCTATTGAACTGTTGTATGATTGGTGACCTAGGTTGTGTTTGGTTGTAAAAGGTTATGGTCGATCGGGTTGTGGTGTACTTTTTCGTTAAGATACAAATGACCGTGATCAAATATGTTACTTTGCTTCCACCAAGTCGGTATTTTTTACTTATCTTATCTTAAAGTATTACCAAAATATACAGCTGCAAAAACATGAAATTAAAGGTCCTTGTGCAGTGTGGCAAGTGATTTTAGACGGTTTCATCTTACACCATGGAATAGAAATCAAGATAAGTAAGAGACCGACTTGGGCAAGGCTACGAATGCCCATATGGTTTGTTATATCTAAGAAACTATTTATTGGAATCACTCCGTAATAGACATTATGCATATGCTTAAGATGGAATTCTACTTTTGAGTGAAATAAAAAGAAGGCTTTATGAGTAAATAGGTGTTGCAATAGAGGTCAAATATTTGGTTTGGCTGGATGGATTTCACTCAAGCTTGATATGGCATAATGAATCACTTCATTTCATTTGTTTAGATTGCGTGTGCTCCTTCGGAACTAATTATAGCATTATATTGATAAGTATATTTATAAGGGCATACTTAAAAAGATAATGAGGTCAAAAAGGATATGATGATGTTACGCCAAGCGTGCATACTTTTGTGTTAAGTCAAAACGCACTTGCTGCATTCTTAATATTCTCAGGAAAAAGTAAGTAAACGCAAATGTACACACTAATTTCAAATATCAAATATCATTTCTACCGAAAACAGAAATGTTTACGCATTTTGTAACATAATGCAGTCACTGCACTTCACTTAATGACCACTATTTCAGCCTATCTGTGTTCAAACCCTTAAATATTCCCCAAAGTATAGTTTGACAATGAATTGGTTATTGTAAACCTAGAAGTCTTCTTTTCTGGCCTAAGGGATATTCTCCATTTTGAAATTGATTTCATGAAATTAATAAATGACCCCTTGGGGAGGAAAGGGTTAATATGTATTTTTGCATTCACCAATGATAATTATGGAGTTGTGATTCTGAAAGCTGACACTCTCAAGGGTGTATTGAAAGCTTAGTGCAGATGAATTATTTTGTTTGATCCTAGTTTTCACTAGTACTATTAAACACGGATTGAGATGCGTATGTAATTACATACTTCAAAAAACGAACTGCGAAACGAAAATTATCGAAATACGTTTCCGTAAACGTAACGAGATACGGATGCGGATACGTTTTAGCCAACCCGTTGTGCGAAACCTCTCTAATAGTAATCAAGTACTCGTAACGCTGTTTTTGCGTTAACTTAGCCTTTATTCCGAATAAATAAAAATCATGGATAACATGTGCGTAAGTTTAAGCTTCGTGTGTAATTCAGGGTACGATCATGATACAGTTTTAGCTTCATCTTTGGTTGGTTGGTACAAGTGTCTCTCGACCTTCTTTCAGCCGCTGAGAGGAGAGAGCTAGAAATTGTGATTCAGTTTATCTAATCTGCTTGGTTTGAGACAAAGTCGGCATTCTATCCACATTTGTCCGGGAGTTTATTTCGCTCTGACTCGTCATCATACTTTGCGTGTTCGTCTGTCTTCTGTATGTTGATTTCCTTCCACATAATAACTCTCGCAACGAATTGCGGAATTTCTTCCCACTCAAACAGTACATGACGAAATTCAAAGCACTGTTCATATACATCAACAGATTCACAACAGCCACAGTGAGTTTCTCACTTGCTTTTTCAGCCACCGTTGGAGCTCTTGTTATGTCAGGTTGAATTATTATATCGAGGATAACAGCTGGAGACGTAAAAGAAAGGAACAAAAAGGATATCATCACGAGCATGATTGTCATCGACCGTGTGGCGTCGTCCGTTTTCGAACTCGAGGCGTTCATTTGCTTCTTCCTGCGTATAGCTGCTCTAACCAACTGTGCTATGATGAGGATGTTACTGACGAACAAAACAGTAAACGGGATAAACGAACGGACTGATGCATCGATTAACGGCCAGTATGTTTGATGGAATTCTTCAAATCCCCCTAGGAAGGCGCAAGTTAACTGTACCTCCTCGATCAACTTGGTGAAATCACGTTGCCCAACTGTAACGAACCAATGGCAGTTCACCCCAACGAGGAAAAGGGTAACAAGGCATATAACAATGGTGGTTTTCTTTCTTGTGCAGATCGACTTCGCTTTCAAGGGCAAGTAGACGAGAATGACTCTATCAATCGTAACACAGACCAACATCCAGGCGGATAGGTCAATAAACATATAGGTGAAGAATATGTGGATTTTGCACGCCCATTCATGCGTTGCCCGAATGTCAAAGGCAAACATGTTACGAGACCACTGTCGTCCGAGACCAACGAGGAGTACTCCCGTGTCGAATATCGCCAACGCAGCAAGATATATGGACGAGGCATTTTTATTCATACTTGTAAATTTCATAACAAGAAACGAAAGAACATTTCCTGTCAATCCAAATATAATTACGACCAGTGTCATATATTTCCACAGAGCGACTCCTATTTGGTATTCTAGAAAATCTTCGATGGATTCAGTTTTCACGGTTGTTGCTATTGTTGAATTGAGATATTGCTGAGCTGAAGTGTTTCCATTATTTCTTACAACAAATGACCCCATCGTGATGTTTGAAATAAAAGTTGCAGCATTAGTAGCATTTGTTGTTGTGATTGCAGAATCATATGGAGTTTGAGTCGTCCAATTATTCTCCATTTTACGTTTTGAGCTCGCAGACACACAGCAACAATCTGAAGCAACCGTTCGTTGAATACCTCTGAAGTGATACAAATTACAGAATTCACGCTCAAATCGTAGTATTCAAATCTGTCAATTGTAGTTTCATAACCAAAGACGGAAATGATAAATAATTGAAGAGTCATCATTTGGTAGCTGTTGTGACAATAAGTTCGGATATCTCAAAGCAGAATTGTTGAATTGTTCGAAGACGGAAATAATAAATAATTGACAAGTCATTAGTTGATAGCTGTGGTGACAAATCGAATATCTCAAAGCAGAATTCTTGAATGGGGTCAACATGTAATAAGAGGTCGTAATAGGACTGAATCATATTTCCATTAATCAAATTATTCCATTAATCAAATTAGTTTGTCGCGTGTTTATTAAGTCGGTACATGTTTGTGGTCTCTCGTGAATCCAAGTGTTCTCCGACATCCTTTCAACCACTGAGAGCCGAAAATTGATAGGTTATTTGATCTAACCTAAACTTGGTTTGAGTCCGGCATTCTATCCACATTTTTCTGAGAGTTTATTTCGCTCTGATTCGTCATCATACTTTGCGTGTTCGTCTGTTTTCTATATGTTGATTTCTTACCACATAATAATTCTCGCAACGAATTGCGGAATTTCTTCCCACTCAAACAGTACATGACGAAATTCAAAGCACTGTTCATATACATCAACAGATTTACAACAGCCACGGTGAGTTTCTCACTTGCTTTTTCAGCCACCGTTGGAGCTCTTGTTATGTCAGGTTGAATTATGATATCGAGGATTACAGCTGGAGACGTAAAAGAAAGGAACAAAAAGGATATCATCACGAGCATGATTGTCATCGACCGTGTGGCGTCGTCCGTTTTCGAAGTCGAGGCGTTCATTTGCTTCTTCCTGCGTATAGCTGCTCTAACCAACTGGGCGATGATGAGGATGTTACTGACGAACAAAACAGTGAACGGGATAAACGAACGGACGGATGCATCGATTAACGGCCAGTATGTTTGATGGAATTCTTCAAATCCCTCCAGGAAGGCGCAAGTTAACTGTACCTCCTCGATCAACTTGGTGAAATCACGTTGCCCAACTGTAAAGAACCAATGGCAGTTCACTCCAACGAGGAAAAGGGTAACAAGGCATATGACAATGATGGTTTTCTTTCTTGTGCAGATCGACTTCGCTTTCAAGGGCAAGTAGACGAGAATGACTCTATCAATCGTAACGCAGACCAACATCCAGGCGGATAGGTCAATAAACATATAGGTGAAGAATATGTGGATTTTGCACGCCCATTCATGCGTTGCCCGAATGTCAAAGGCAAACATGTTACGAGACCACTGTCGTCCGAGACCAACGAGGAGTACTCCCGTGTCGAATATCGCCAACGCAGCAAGATATATGGACGAGGCATTTTTATTCATACTTGTAAATTTCATAACAAGAAACGAAAGAACATTTCCTGTCAATCCAAATATAATCACGACAAGCGTCATATATTTCCACATAGCGACGCCTAATTGGTATTCCAGAAATTCCTCAACAGATGGAACTTCAGCGGTAGTGGCTGCCATTGTTGAATTGAGATACTGTACTGATGTATTTCCAGCACCTCCTGTAATTACAGTAGACGTCTCCATTATACTTGACATGAACGTAACAACGTCGGACATGTCGGTAGCGTTCGGTTGTGTGATTTCAGAATTATTTTCAGTTTGATTAATAGTTGTTCCACCGTTCTCCATGCTTACAAGTTTTTAACCTCTATAAAAATTATTAAACAACGTGTAAATTAACATGTATTAAATAAGGGTTTATTGGTCATATTTAAATAAATAATGTATACAATTTGTATATAATTTCCCGGAAAATAACTATTTTCTGAACTTATTATGGAGGCTTTGTATACGGGCATGAATGTTTTAATGTGCAAATTAGTGGATCATGTCCAAATGAAGTTAATATATGAAAAAGAACGTTTGCTAATGGCATGGTCACATTTGCTCCGATCTTTACTACAGTCCCCGGCTGATTGATTATTTTGTTCAAAATTGTATTCAATTTTGAACAAAATACTCATCGGCCGGGCGCCGGTATGATCAGCAAATGTGACCACGGCATAAAAGGATGATTTATTTCATGACGTGAGATGTTTGTTTTGTGTTCTTGTTAACTTCCCTATAAATATAGTCTTTATATTGTACTTAATACCAGGGACTTCCTAACTGTTAAAACACAGAATATATTTTCAAATAATTTATTTCAATGTATGATAAAACGCCATATACAATGTATGTATACCACCAGACAGTATGTAGAAAATAGAAATACAGTCATGCAAGATTCAAATGGTAAAAGATTCATATTGGTAAAAGTAGGATTAAAATGAGACAGAGCTGCATGAGCCAATGGTCTTAATACATTCTAGAAAGAAATTTGAAAATTTTTACAATTTTGTGTATTTTGACTTCAATCATTGAAATGCATGTTAAGAAAATCAGACAAAACTATGTGGGTGATAATGATTGGGTTTGGATATGGGTATTATCCAGAAATGAATTTACTTCTCTCACTAAAGTATGTCTGGGAATGAAGGGGAGATAAATATTTTCATATTCTAAAACCTTATATCCAATACTTCATCAAACCCTCATATTTCACCCAGAACTGATATATATTGTATTTTTTCTGTTATCAAATTTTTCAGTTTAGACTGTAACCCATTCTGTAGAAGTGCTCTAGAAATGCAACCTTCCTTACATGAAAGGTTACACATTCCAACCTATTTCAAACCATCTGTATGATTATACTGGACACTTTCTGGGTAGTTGGACTTTCTATAGGGGTGGCAGACGGCCCTCAGACCAATTTATACCCCTACCCCCAAAAAACCATGGGGGTACTTTAATACCACCCAATAAAAAGAATACTAATGCATGTCAGATATTCATTGTTTTATATTGGGTAGAGCATGTTATGGTTAATAAGTGCCAGAAATTTCCAATCTCTAACTTATATGGTTACCATAGAAACAGTATTTATATCTCGAAATATTCTCAATTTGACCCCCTCCCAAATGTGTCCCTTTGTTCTCAAAGTGAAATATTTCAAAATCTGTTTGGATTTTATGGCTGCTACTTTGTCAAAATTTGTAATATTATGTCTATATTAACACTAAAACACTTAAAAGTTGATATAATGATCCTATAAATCAATAATATTTATCAAATATAGTCACACATAGCTGCTTTCAGGGAAAAGTGGGCGTGGCACTTTTTGGTACTTGTGCGCTTGTTGCAGCATTAAATGAAAAATGCAGATTACACTAACAATAATTGACATTTAATTAGCATCTACTAATGTTGTGTAACATTGTAATATGTTCATTATCATTATTAGACACTTTAAATATTTTATATAAGTGTTATCCTGACCCTTCCCTATCATAGGTCATCAATGGTCAGATTAACTTTTAGTTTAAGTCTTATAGGGTCCTCGGTCTTTTAAGTCTGTCAAGAGTCAAGTCTTACTTATTCATTGACTTGTTCCTAGAATATGAATAGATAAGTTCAAGTCATCTAGAGCTATGAGTTACAATTAATTAATATGCTTGTTCAACGGGCTTCAATATTTAGAACCATTTTACCATGTTTACTGCAATTGAAAAGTAATGAACAGTTCAATCCTTTTGGTATGATATTTGATGCTATAGTGAATTGCATAACATTTATGATTAAACTTAAATGAACTAATATAACTCTGGCTATTAACCCTTCCCTAGTATCCTTCGCATAACCTCTAAATCATCTTCATATCCATGGCCTAAATGGGGAAGGAGGGAGGGGTTACAAATAGTGACCAAGGATAGTTTGAATCAAAGCAAGAAGACGTAATACTCAAAACTAGAAAGATTGGAGACCATTTATACCCTTCCTAATATTTTGCCTAATACATAACACTAAGATCTATTTTGTCAGACACTTGCTGATTCTTTTATCAATACCTCAACATCAGGCAATGCATGATCTATCCAATGGATTAAAGATTATACTTGATTCTAATATGGCAAAATTAATTTTTCGTATGAATTGCATAGAGCATCATTTTGCAATTATAATAAAATGCATCCATTCATTCATTGGCTCATAGTTAACAAAAAAGCTATTCTCTGGAAGGTACAGTATAATTTCTATTATTTCTATTAGTATTTAGCAAAATAATTGCAAGATAAACAATTTACACATGTTTCTGATATGCTGTATTTTCAATACCAATAGAAAATATCTTCCCTCGGGACCAACGACCCTAGGCCAGATATATTATATTGGCCTCGGGATAATTCCAATACCCTGAACCTCATAGAGGATAATCTCTATTCGTCTTCATCAATTATTATTATACATATGAATCGGGATATAAATATAACCTAAAGTAAGAAATCACATTCTCTAACTAGTAATATTAAATTTTAAAATTGGTAAATGATGATTATGTCACAATAGAATTACTCAGATGCGAGTAGGTAGTTACCAGTATCACCACCAGGTGGCTGATTCGGGGGAATTAACATGGCAGAGTATTACAAAATTCCCTTAAACTTGAATATGCATCAGTTTTAGTGGTTCACTATTCATATTAGCTTTATGTATCTGATAGTTACACAAATTAAAATATGTCCAGTAAAAGAAAATATTATCTGCCCAACACATGAAAAGATATTTCCATTTTTGTGATTTTACAACATGGGGGCTATGGGGAATCTCTCCGACCTAGAAGTCACTTTTTCAAAGAAAATTAAATTTTCAAAGTTGATAAACTCTTTTCAAAACCACATTTCTAAATGTAATTTTACATGTAGATTTCAAATATGACATCAGTTTGACTGAATTGTGAATTTTAATGACGTAAACCAAGATTATTTCTACTCGCATCTGGGATATTGATGACCATGATTTATTTGAGAATAAAACAGACAAAACAAAGGCTAACAAAAATCTTTAAAAATTTGGGTAAAACATTAATATTTTAAATTTGCTTGTTTTTCATCATTATTACTTCGATCTCCAAACCCCAAAAATTGAGTGTTACAAATTGTTTCAAGTTAAAGTATGCCTAATTTCATGAGCAAACTAGTAAATATATAAGCACTAGTGCCAAAGGGAAAGGACCAAAAGTTGTAATGGAACTTAATAAGAAAAAGCAAACTTTAAGTTGGATCTTGTTGGATATTTTCCCTCGACAATGCCTTATCAAATTCATCTATATACAAACTACTAGATTCCAAATGCTATTTTACAGGATGGGTGTTCATGAAAGTAACACTAAACATCAGTTTTGTCATAAACTGAACAATGCAGCTAATTGATTCTCCGATCTAAGCAACAGAGCCTCTTTTAATATATTGTAATTTCAAAATTGCCTCTAATTCAAGTTCTTCAATCAAATCTAAAATGGACACAACTGGTAATATCTTTATACCATATGAGTAGAATGTTTGTTTCTTTCAAATTCATGCTTTCGTTAGAAACATGGATATCACTTATTCATAGTTTTGATTCGTATTTAAAATCGTGTGCATTATATATGAGGTTTAATTAATGGGAAGTTTTTAATACAGGGAAATACAATATATCTGAGGGAAATACAATATACCTCCCCGAGGGGTTGAGGGTAGAATATTGTATTTCCCAAGGGTTATACCTTGTACCCAAAATTATTTATCATATACTAAAATACGAAAATATGAGAAATTGCACAGAATGAAATTCCTGCAGGGGATTACTGAGCAGGTGATATACCTGGCGATACATAGAGATTATCCTATATGAGGTTCAGGATATTGAGACTATCCCGAGGCAAATATAATATATCTGCCCGAGGGAGATTATGACGGAGTGCGCAGATATACTATATCTGCACGCTCGCAACGGGACATATAGGGGTTATGCACTGGGAGGTTTTAGATACAGGGAATATCCCGAGGGATATACAATATATCTTCCCGAGGGACCGAAGGGACCGAGGGAAGATGTATTGTATATCCCAAGGGATATTCCATGTATCCAAACCGACCGTGCATAACTGGTGTATCTCATACTTGAGTGGGTTTAGGGTAGATATAACCTTTTGCACCTTTTTCAAATGACAAGATATTTATATTGAACATTTTCGTAATATTCTTTTTGTTCAATACAATGAAATTGTAACATTTAAACTTAAAAAATTTAAATTTTAAAATTAAAAAATTAAAACTTTTGATATTTAAACTTTTTTAAACTTTTGAAAAATTCCCGGGAGCGGGATGGATATATTATATCTGCCCGCATTTGGCCTGGAGCGGGACATATACAATATATCCTGCCCGCTCCTCAGATACGATATATATTCCCGGGTGATATCTACCCCAAACCCACTCAAGTATGAGATACAAAGCTATATCTGCCCGCTGATGAGAATGAGAATATAAGTTTTTACAAACCTGCTTTATGTACCTGAAACACGACCAAGTATGGGATAAATAAGGGTTATGCACTGGGAGGTTTTGGATACAGGGAATATCCCGAGGGATATACAATATATCTTCCCGAGGGACCGAGGGAAGATGTATTGTATATCCCAAGGGATATTCCATGTATCCAAA